GTGATTGTAACGGCCGCTTATAGACCTTTCCAAGAAAAAGAATCTGGCCGGTTCCACTTTCAGTATTCGTGCGTATGGCGCGTGATCTGCTCGCTTTCCGAGGCGACGTACATGCGCGTGCTGGGCTCAGGAGATCGCACGCTGGGCTGAGGACTTGTTAACATTGGAACTGCGTGATGCACGTTAAAGACCACAGGCTAACGGTTGTACTGCAGTGGCTAAATTGCTCATCTACAGCTGGGAGACTCGTCGCCCGTCGATGCAGACCAAGTTCTAGGCTGTATAAACATACACACAACCCAATTTTTGAACATTGGAATGGTGTATAGGCGTGCTCTAAAACGACTTACGTGGCGCGTGGTGATTTAAGCAGACTGAAAAGAATCTTTGAGCACGACACTTCAGCCGGTCGCGTTCCCAAGTGGAACAGAGCTTACGAAATCTTAGGCCTTGTGGAAAGACGATCGGGTCGATTCGTTCAATTAAACTGGCAACGGGACCTTGTTACGAAATCAAACAAAAGGGAAAGCGAGGTAGCCGTCTTATTTGTCTCGTTTGTTTGTTTCTTCGTGTCAGAATGCGGGTGCAAACTGGTTTCGACCCTGTGGCGATGGATGATGGGCCCGCGGAAGTTGGCCTGCGACACCGGGAAGCGAAGCGGCGGGGAGCATCGGTTGGGCGAAGAGGAGGGGGACAAAGTTCGGCTTAACATAACGAGTTTTTTGGTCTTTCGTTTGCTTTTCCGCCGAGATTACGATACATTCCGCGGAGAAAGTGGTACAGCGGTGGCACCCGATAAAAGGACGCGGCAGAGAAGAGGTCGCACTCGATATTCCGCACGGCAAGTTTCAGTCGGAGGCGAAGGGGAACGGGCGCACGTACACGATTAGAGCGATGGGGACGAGCCGCCTTTTGCCGACGGCTGCGACACTAATGGCGATGATGATGAGCACGTAATCTCGAGTTGGGTACTGACACCTCAAGACGGGCAAATCGTGGCCAATATGGGAGTCACACATTCATTCTCATAAGGACGCTCTCCACTTTCAAGAAAGAAAGAAAAGCAGAAGAAAAAAAGAACCTGCGAGCTTACTTCTCTGCAGAACACGAAGACAACCAAGCGCGCGAACAATGGGATTCCAGCGATTAGACAGAAATAATGAGATGTGCGCAGTGGCCATGAACATTGCGTTTCACTTGCTCGCGGTCGCTGCGCACATCACGTTTTTCGGACCTTACCTCGGAAGATCGAGAATACTAGGTTCGTCAATCGCTGGTACCCTATTTTTTTTTTTTTTTTTGCTTTTGCCATGACAAGGATGTATTTTTAAAACTAATAAAGTCGCATACTTCTCAATTTTTCAGTGTTGCTGACTGGCGCTTTATGCCGAGGAAGAAAATAATCATGCCGGAATCATCCTAGCGATTCAGTCTGTTACGGTGAACCGAAATTTAGTTCAAGTTGCCGCTTGACGGCACATCGGACAATTCCATCATGGGCAACTCAACTTATCGCTCTAATAATAGTATCATTTTGTAAACTCACCGGTGACTACGGTCTCAAGCATCAGAGCCGCCGTACGAAAAGCTTTTTTTTTTATTTGTTTTTTTCAGGGTGGAGGAAAAAAATCAAGATGATTTAAATCGCGATTTAAACCGCAATTTAAATCCCACTGACTTGACATTGATAATTTAAATCAGACACTTCCCCCGAAAATAGTCCCGTTAATAGTTTCTACTGGCCGTCTGTCTATCATCCTATGCTTTGCACGGATATTTATTTTGTATTTAAACGTAAGAAAAATTAACCAATAAAAATTTACATCAAACAGCCGTTAAAAGAAAAAAGAAAACACGTTTAGTGACAAAAAATTACCTGAACCATTTTAAATCATATAAAATTATTTAAATGAAAGAAATCTGGTTTAAATCAAATACATCTGAATTGTATATCTTAAAGAAAAAAGACGTGACTTTTGTTTTTAAACATTGGTTTCTGTGATGGTTACCGGATGTGTATCAGGTATTATCGGCAGCAACGTTGCATCGGTGTGTCCGAAACGGGGACATTTCTCCGCGTGAACGAGTTGAAGAGCTTCTGTCTCACACACTTTAGGAGCAGGACTAAGCTGAACCCGCAGATACGATGCGGTGGGCTAGAGGCCGGAGATGCGATACGGTGGTTTAGGCACATCGTTTATAAGATAAAGTTGGAAGCTAGAAAAAAAAAATCGAAGAGCGTTGTTGTTATTTGCGGGTAGGAATACTGTCTTCAGCTGAAGTCGAGCTTTCGGTTTACTGGTGTTCAACAAATGAGAAGATCGGAGTGTGGCCCCGCCCTTTCGCTCTTCAACTGTCACCGACATAGTTTTAAAAATTCTTGCATCTGCAGGTCTACGAACCAAGTACACCCGAAACTGTAGTCACTGACATCCGAAGAAATGCAGGGCGTGGCTCAATATCGTAGTGCTTCGTCATTTGTCCTTCGACTTTTTTTTATTGTAGAATGCCGCATCCTCATTGGCTGGGAATCGCTCATAAGATGCACTGAACTCGCCGCACCCACAGCTTCTTAAGTTGTCAATGACAAATAGCTTTTCGCGTTTCGATAACAATACCCGATACCACGCCGGCACCAACAAAATCCGGTTGTTAGAAACTATCAGAGATTATACTTGTTTCGTGAGACATCGGGAGTATTTTGATACTACGAATCCGGGGGCTCTAAACTATTGAAACACAAAGTTGAGGCCGAAGTTGACGGAGCACACTGATTGGTCTATCACGACGATGACTTGGCGCTTTTTTCGCCGAAGTCCATTCGGCTCGCTCAGAAAACTTTGGGCTCCAACTTTCTGTTTGACGAGTTTAGGGCCCTATTGACTTGGCTCACTGCAGTTTCCATTTGGCCATAGCCAGTGTTTCTTCAATTTCACTTCAACTTCAATTCAAGAAACTGAGCTATTTGCGTCTCCTCGAGAGATTCGTTTGATACATTCTATGATAAGCTTTTCTTCAGTTTCCTCATTTTTCCTAATTTTGGAAACTCACCTGCAAGAAACGCTGGTCACTATACAAGGACAACCTATAAACGTGCATTTTGAATTGTTCCCATTAATTTAACCCTCTGTCGCCGACTATCTCTACACTCTAAAAAAAGCCCGTGCGTCCACTTTCCCGCGCGACACTCGCAGAGCCGATCACCGCAACTTACGGAGGCGGCTCAACGAATGACGATGTCGAAACATATGTTTAGACCAAAAAACGCTCTCTGAGTCGTGACATTAAGCAATGCTAGCTTGACATTTTGCATTGCTTAATGTCACACCTCAGACTGCGTTTTTTGGTCTAAACATCTGTTTCGACATCGTCACTCGTTGAGCTGCCTCCGTAAGTTGCGGTGATTGGCTCTCCGAGTGTCGTGCGGGAAAGTAGACGCACGGGCTTTTTTTAGAGTGTATCTTGTGCACCGAAGATTGCTTATCAACAAACTCGGTGCGTGGCTTATTGTGTTCACGGTTTCTGCTTCTGTCCTCGGCGTTCTCATCAACGCGTGCCACAATTTGATTGGCTGTGGACCGGCAACAATACACCCGCCACTGCAGGCACGCCCTGCCTTAGGCAGCTGATTTGTAGCAGATGGGTAGAAGAGGAAGAAGTGGCAAGACTGTGATTGGTTCCCGTTTGATTCAATGCGCTGCGATCGCATCCATGTAAACCCAGCCAGTGGCATCAAGTGCTGCGTGCGTCGCAGGGTTGGCAACGCACGCGGCTGCCACGCGGAGGTCCAGGTTCGATTCCCTGGTCGGCCCAGTTCCCTTCTTCCAACAAACTGCGTCTTCTGGAGAGTTCCTCCAGCCCACTACCGGCCGTAATCGCGTGTTCCGGTTCGGAGCATTCCCGAACGTACGTCATGTATGAAATCACATGCTTCGAGTAGTCTGTGTCTCTTCCGTCGCCGTCCCAGGATGTACGGTGCCCCTTCTTGTTTTAGCTACGGGCGCGAGTAGTTCGCCTCATTAAGCGCAAGCGTGATTTCCAGTTCTCCATTCGTCGAATCTTTTCTGTACGTGACAAGGCCCAGACTTTCGTTTTCGGCTAACGGTATAGTAATGAGCCTGAGGGATGGTGTTCAGTTTCGGAGATTTCCTAGATTGTGTTAAGCGTGTCAATATCGTCAGTCGGCACAAGCGCCACTGATCGGTGTATCAGTTTAACTTCGGTCATCACATAATTGCAGACCCGTTACGAGCGATATCGGATGAGCGCAAAGTGTTAATGACAGAGAAACAATAACTTCATATTTGGGTAACGTAAAATAGCGGATTGCCGGGCTAGTTAGTGATCAATCGACATAAAAGTGTGCGAAAACAGAGAGGACAAAGTAGGAAAAACAAACATGGCAAGGACTCTCAATAAAACAGAAGTAAAAAAAAAAAAAATAGAGCATGTTTTGCGCGTTTTTACATTTTGTCTTGTCTATCTTCGCACTTTTTTTTTATTGCGTTTTATTGTAAAAGTGCCCCGATAGAAAAAAAAACACAAAGGAAAACGTGAAAACCATTTCCGTGGAGGGACTCTATACTCCAATTTTTTTTTAAAGAGCTTTTGAAAAAATTGATATATCTAACAAAAACTGATTTTTTTTTCACAAGTTCACATCGACTACCTTGTCAGCAATTCTTTTTTTTTTTTTTTATAAATAGAAATAAGTTTCGCATTACACAGCAAGGAACATTGGAAAAATTTCGCGAGTACCTCAGTTATTTCATGACGGACACATACATTTATGTCCTCTCTTGTGTCACAATTATATTACGCAACCTTTTTATCACATTTATTCGTACACAGATCCTTTTTTTCATTATTAAGTTAATCAAATGCTCGTAAACTAAATGCCACAGAAATAATTAAATAGAGGTAAAAATATCGGCCGATTCGCCCTCAAGAAAAAAACATCGTTAGCAAAGTCTCAAAAGCAGCTGTGAACTGTGACCGACCTTAGATGCTCCCTCCTCTTGGGCGTGCACGGAAGCACTCAGCAGCAGGCAGAGACATGCCACCAGGGCGACGACAACTCCTCTGGAGACGACCATGTTTGGTGGTGGCTCGTTGGCAGCAGTCGCAACAGAAGGGATCACTGAGCGGAGCAGAGCACGGGAGGTGTACGAGAAGGCGCGACGGCGTTCGATATGCGGAAGCAGAGACGGCAACACAGCGTATCCGTGCCCGGGCGGCAACTACTAGTGCCGCTCGACACAATGGGGCCGCTGATATAGATGGGCCCCCGGCGGCGACCACCTGAGTCTGCGAGCGCGCCATTGGCCCAAGGATGAGCACGTGACCCGGCGCTCGGGAGCGCGTCCTCATCGTCAGCGCCGCTGCGGGGAGCTGCGAAAAACATGCGCGGCGGAGGAAGGGCAGAGGCAGCGAAAAGGGTGCGTGACGTCACCTAGTGTGCGACTGACTGAACCGTGTTGCCTTGTTGACTGGCACTGATCGAAGCTATCGATGTGGGAATGTCTCCTTTTAAGCAGAATAAGCTTAATTGCCTGTTAGGTTTTTGAGAATCACATACCTATAAACTTATTTTTTTATTGCAAAGGGGGGCGGGGATGCTGGTGATTGGGGCATAAAAAATATTAGCGTGGTCGTGGGTCTTAGAGGACTCGATAAGCGAAATGAATAAATCAGTAAAGTGCCATTTTTGTACTACTAACTAAATTATCTGACATTTCTTTTTAATTTGAACTTTCACGAAAGCTGTAAGCTTTAAAGCTATAAGTTTACTGCAACAACTTAGCGTGACCGCAACTTTTTTATTAAGGCAATTTAATATATTTACTGTCCTAATCAGTATCATAATAAAAGAGGCACAATGAAGTTACTTCGGTGTTGTTCAGAATTGAATGTATATGCCTTTCCGCATAAAAATTCGATAATTTAAATAAAAATATCATGGAGTAATAATTTTCCCCCCTTAATTTTGATGCTTAAACCGAAGAGACAATTTTAGGAAGTAGGTACGATGACACGGAGCTAACTCATTTATACTGATTTATAGCTGGGGTTGATATGGGAATTGATGCCAACAATGCCACTTGAAATATTGAAATTGCGCGATGTACTAATTTGAAGCGCAATTGGCGTAGGAAAAGCAGCGTGCAATGCAACGGTCGATTGCTGAATACACGCAATGTGCTTAGGCGCCAGAAGGCATGTAGCGATATATAGGACTCTTATACAACGCTCACTGCAAAGCTATAAAGAAAAAAATATGTTTTACCATGGTGTGCTGTCCGCGACTATTGACATATTTGATTTTATTTTTACTTCCTTAGTTTTTTTATATATAAATAGAGCATTGGGGGAATTCGAGAACTTCGATGTTCCAGTTTAGGACAATTAAGATGGCATTTTTTTATATCGGAACATTATCAACAACAAAAAATACACACTTCGAGTTACAATTAAAAACAATCGTTTGCTCCGTGTTTGACGATATTGCAGCACATCATATTTATTGATAATGATAATATTAATAATTACCCATCATAATATTGCTTTTCCACCGTTAATTTGTTTTTGTTTTTTCAGGTGTGTGGACGTTTTTGAACCTTGAGCCGGTTGAGGTATCCACAAATCAACGAAAATCTGCATAAAATGAAGCGTGTGTTCACGACAATGTTTTGAGCAAGACATTGATATGTTGCCCAGTTTTGTTACTCTCCAAGTAATCATTCACAACCAAATATCTCATCATTAAAACGGAGGCGCTTGCGAGTGCCTGCAATATAAAACTATTTCACGAATAATAGTAATTAAAGTTTCCTTCCCACGGCGGTCATCTTAAAAGGCTAAAAAAACGTTTTTTTTATATCAAAATAATACTCATTATTAGCTTTACTAGCATTCTCCCTGTGTTTACGGCGATTCTACGGCAAGCTATACCAGTCATAAGATAAATATTTATTTATATACTTATGAGATATTGCCGCGGGCCTCTCATTTTTTTCCTTTAACACAAAAGTTAGGAGGAGGATTTTCAAGAGTTGCATACCTTGTATTATTCTAGAAAAGTGGTCGAGAACTTTCTTAAAATTATGTTTCAAAGCGCGCTTTAACAAATAAGTGTTCTGTGCCATAAGAATTTGTAAAAAAAGAAAGAGAAAAAAAAAAAAAAAACTTTCTTGTCCCAAAGAACAAAAACAATAGAAAGTTCTCGGTCACTTTTTTTATTACATTGAGTACACGGTGCAAATTTACCACTTTTTAACGTCAATATTGGAGGGTAAATATGAGAAGTCCGCGAAATTGTTCTTCTGGCTAATTATTAGATAAAATAATTAAACAAACCGTGCAACGGTAATGAGTAGGAACGTTTCTCACTTTGCGGTTTACTGGCAGGAAACCAAGTATACTAGCACGCAACGCCACTGATTAAGAGGCTTCTCTGTAACATCGGAGATAAAAGCAGACGTTTTCTTTCAGTCCCTCCTCCACAAAACACCGCAAAAGTTGTAAGGGACTGCATTGTTTCCAGTATGTCTCCATCAAGACTCACTATCCTCGCGGTGACGGTATTTAAATGCGGCTCATCCAGTGGCCACGAGCACCGCGTGAGCATTCCATTCGGGCTCGTGACAATCGATGCCTCGACGTGCATTCGGGTAGTGGCGCGTGCCCAGTCACTGGGGAATAGACGAACCTTAACAATGTGTGGAACTCAGCGCGTGCCCTGCGCTTTGCCAACCCAAGCGCGCGGGTATACGATAAACATGGGCGGAACACATAATCGGCTCTGTATCACGTGACCGCTTTTTCTGGTTGCGAGTTGAGGGGGTGATCGCTGCTCGTTTTTCTCAATTTTTCTTTCCGCAACTGCCATTGCGCGATAAAGAATAAAAATAAATAGCGCATGTTATATAGGTTACACATTTCGAGGAATAACTCTTGAGTGGTATTTATTGAAAGTACAAATACTGTTAGATCGCCCCGTTTTACCTATGACTATGTATATAATAGCTTGGCTTAGAATAATCCAGGTACACGGGGATTATGTTAGAACAGCTGCATTCGTACGTGTTTTTAGATCTCATCGAATACATTAAAAACTGTATTGTAGCCGTTCAAGATGGCCGCCACGGGAGGAACACCGTGGCGTCAGGTTCTCTGGGTGTCGAGAACGCCCCATTTCACCACGTTATCTGTAACCAAAACCTTGACTTCACGCGTACTCGTGATCGGCCACAAATTGAACCCGACACTATTCTTCTTACACTATCGCCCGCGCTCTGGTATCTAGGGCAGCCTCTTTTCACTATCGCTGTGAAAACTATACAGGCGCACTGAACTGCACTGAACTTCCACCGCGGAAACGTTCAGCGTCCTTTGCTCCACAGTCCGCACTATCATTCGCGGAATCATCGAGATAGGTCGACGCCTTCCCAGTCACGCGAGGTCTTCACTCATCGCCGAAAACACAACCTTCGATTTTTGCCGGGCACGAGAGGGGGGAATCTGTCAACGCTAAGTCGGCTTGCGAACGATCGCAAAGCTTTTGTTTCTACTCACTGTGCGAAAACGAACGCCCAACGCCGAACGCCGGCGTTCGAACGCGTTCCAAGAGTGAGTATAGACAAAGGCGTCTAATCCTTCTAACCAGAGCTTGGCGCTCTGCCGTCCCCACACGCTCTCATTTCCTCCTTTCTCGCAGTTTGTAGCCGTGTCGTCCTTTCGCTAAATTACCCTGGTGCCTGAGTGTCCTTCTGTTTCGGGCGATGGCATTCTTTGCACTAGTACTCGATGTCGACAGGAGTGACACTATACGTACGCGATGGCTCGAAAACTACAAAGAAATAGCCGGAAACAACATGTCGTCGTAGCACAGTCAACGCCAAAATCCTGTGCTGGGATATTGTCACCTTAAAGGAGCTGTGCAACGATATTCAGTTGGAATGTTTTTCACTATACACGAGCTTACTGGCGCACCTGGGACTCAAAGACCCTCACACGCAACGCCACTGGCCAAGAAACTCCTTTGTTGCGTTGTATTTCAAGGACAAAAGCGTTCATTTTCATTCAATCTCTCCTTTGCAAAATTCGATGACGTAACGTGGGGATCGCAGAACACCCCAGTGACGATATTTGAATGCGGTTCATAGATTGGACCCGAGCATTGCGTGGGTACTCGACTTGGGCTCGTGATAATTGCTAGCTCGAGAAGCATTCGGGTAGTGACCCGTGTCCAATCGCTTCAACGACGACAACAGCCGAGCCATAACAATGTCTGGAACTCAGCGCGTGTCCTGCGCTTTGCCAACCCCAGCGCGTGGCTATGATCAACACTGGCGGCATATAATCGGCTCCAGATCACGTGGCCGCTTGTTGTGGCTGCGAGTTGAGGGGGTGAACGCTGCTCGTTTTTCTTTAATTTTTTTTCTGGAACTTTTATCGCGTGGGGTGAAAAACGAACGCGTGTTTCATAGGTCATTAACGTTAGGGATCCGTTTTAAGCGGTATTTGCGCAAAGTACAAAAATTGTTGCATCGCTCCTTTAACCGAAAGTGTGCCCCCCCCCCCCCCCCCAAAAAAAAAAAAAAAGAAGAAGAAGAAGCGTTTGAAACAAAATGTATTTTGTTTCAAACGCATCTGACCATGCATGGTCAGATGCCATCCGCCTAAGCACAGCGCACATGAAGGCAACGTTGCATAAATACACCCTACATTACCCAAGCTCCGAGGGAAATACTGGGAACGTAAGTACACGCGCTGCACGCGCTTTCCTCTCTCTGTCTAAAATATTCGAAGTAACCAAATTAAGGCGTTGACGAATGTAGTCGGAAGTGCTATTTGATTTAGATTTTCGCGATAGAACAGTTAGTGCTGCAGACAAGTGCAGCCCGTGTGACTACACTACCGCCATACTCCCTGGTGATTGCGCATGCTTAAGCATGCGCAATCACCAGGGAGTATGGCGGTACCATAGCAATTTAGCAAAAAGGTATTCTGCAATCCAACTGTCGTAGCGTCCAGTTGCTTTTGTGCTAGTTTTAACACTCACGGCGATTACACCGAGTTGACGAAGTATAGGGCAACGTTACTATAGATTAGCTCAGTTGCAGAAGAGCAGTACCCTCCCTTCTCCCAACCACAGCTCGCCTCCCGTCGTTCAACACGCCACCTGTTTGAGGACGACTGCTATGGTAAGCGATGCGTATCCTATTCATACATATATGTTTTGAAGCACAGCTTCTAGATTGCGCTTCGCCGTACTTTATGGAATACACAGTTTCGAACCGATAAT